CGTCACGTCAGTGAGCGCGAGTCAACGAATGTATCTTCCCAGGTCACGTCACGTCACCGTCACGTCAGCGTCGCGTCAGACCAAGCCTGTTAGTCCTTCGTCGAAGTCACCGTCACGTCACCGTCGCGTCGTGCGACCCATCCGTGGACCATACTCCAGGAGGTGGGCCAGGAGCCCTAGGGTATCTATATATGTATATTAAATTATGGTCCTTGATCCCTGTTGTTCTTTGCAGACTGCCCCAAGATGTTCTGCAACAAGTTAAGATGGATCCCTCTGGTCCTTGCACCATCTGTAGGTTTTCATGGTTTTTCAGCTTCCAAAGCATTCGTGGGGCGAATCCACACCGGTCCCGGACAGGAAGCTTCGTCTGAGCCGGGGACCAGCCTCATCATCGGCACCGGCCTCGCAGGAAGCGTCATGGAGCCGACCTGGCCGGACCACTTGCAGAATGAAAAGACGTCGGTGGACCTCCTGAGGTTCGGTGGTTGGGGTGGGTTTTGGGGGTCTAACCACCTTCTGAGGAGATGGTTGGAGCCCTAGGGAACAGTCTTAAACAGTCTTGGGGTTTGGGAACCAGGCCCAGACCCCTGCGTTTCGGTGTCGGGTCCGACCCCTGCCATAAAAAAGCCCGGGCCCGGATTCTTAGGGTTATGTAAAGCGAGGGCGGTTCGGTCTCTGCCTCGCTCACGATCACTCGCATCTCGCGGGGACTAACACACAAACGGTGCAACAGCGACCGAAGGGGTGAGTAAGACACCGAGGTCCAAGCGGAAGCACACAAATTGCGGAAAGTATGGAGAAGTAACTAATTTGGCCAGGGGTCGAAAACAGCACGTGGGTCGTTTTTCACGTGATACCAGTAAGTCGAAGGTCCCGATGAAGAGAGAGAGAGACTATGCTGTGCTTGTGGTGTATCAGGATGCACCGGGGAGCGGAGCGTTTTGGCAAATCAAGAGGAACATCAAGATGGAATGGTGGATTCCCTGCACAAGTGTTCAGGTGCTGGCTGAGTCCCTCATCGTGATATCTGGGCGTCTTGAGAGGCCATACTTATGTGTTGGAAGTTGGGGAAGCGAGGAACATCCAGTTTTTGTATACTTGGGGAGATATGTAACCGCCGAAAGAGTTAAAACCCCTGTAAACCATGAATTTCTAGTCTTAAATAGTCTTAAATCCCTACGGCTGGTCAAGTACCTTATCCCTTCGGCTGGCTAAATAGTCTTAATACCTTATCAAAAAGGGGTATGAAAGGCTTATTTGGCCGTGGCAAAGTAGACTTCCTCTCTCTAGGCTCATTGACTTGCGGGCTCCAGTCGGACTGGGGTAGGTTTAGATGATCTAAAGTTACCTTCTGAGAAGGTATGACTGGACCCCTAGGGTATGTAAAACGATGGTGGTTCGCTAAAACACGTTCATAAAAAAATCAATGGGGGTGGTTGGGAAAATCCTAGATATGGTCCTTGTTTTGGAGAAACATCCGGCTGACCCTCCCCAAATGCTACTGGACTTAAAGAAACTTACTGTATCATGAACATGTCCCAAAAAAGCCCCGGTTGTGAAGTATTCGAAGAGTATGTTTTCCACTAAGTGTCCCTACAGGTGATCCACTGACTTCCAGAGTATTCCTGAGTAGGAAAACAACCTCTGACTTTACACTATAAACCCCATTAGCCATTCCCCCCATCACTTCCCGCCAACCCCCCCATAACAAAGCCCTAGGGATCCAACTACCTGCTCAGAAGGTGATTTGAGACACTCTTATGTAGGTTTTGAGGGTCCAAGTACCTTCTGAGAAGGTACTTGGATCCCTAGGGAAGAATCATTACACTCCAGGTCCATTTCTGCAAAGAACATCAAAGAACCACCTGCGAAGTCCTGTGACTGGCAGGTAGAACTCATGGTCCTCCCGGCCATGCCCATCCCCATACACTCCGTGGGACTGACCCCTCAAACCACCCCAACTGATCGGCATATATGGCATACATGGAGTGTATGCCTATCCACATCACCGTCTTTTCAGGGACCTCTGTTCCTGACCGGTCTAGACTCCGTCTTCCGTCTTCCGCGACGCGCGAGCGCGGAGAACCTGTGGCATGCCACAGGGGCCCATCTGGGGCATGACCTGGGGACACGTCGCGTTCGGTGAAGCTCTCTGAACATCGAAAGGAACGAACGGATAGCAGCCAGCGATGTGGACTTTGAGGGCAGATGTTGGCTTCACAAGTAGGGTTTCACCAGTTGGGGTAGGGTTTCACCAGTTGGGGTGGCAGCATCTGGTTGAAAGCATCTTTCTTCTGGCCACGCCAACCTGGTCATGTGTCATCCAACCTGGCCCTGCCATGTTTGAGCCCAGCAACATGGATCCCCCGAGCAAGCGGATGGATCCGCCAGCCGTCCGGCAAGGCACTTGGAGGAGTGCGGCAAGTTGGTGCAGCACCACATGGAGGGTGATGGAGGAACGTGTTCGTTATGTGCAACATTTCAGGTGCTCCAAACATGTCCGGAATGTTCTTCAACATCCCAGGACCCACTGGCGAATTGGTTCATGGACACCCCGAATCACCCGGGTGTCCCCTAGGAGTGAACCCGAGTCCAGGAACTTCCTTCCCTTGTGCCGCATGCTGCCGCACCCTTGAACTTTCCAGCTAGGAAATTCACCATTGGGATCTCGGAAATTCTCAGGTTCCCTGATTGCATATTCAGAATCTGGTGGGTGAGAAAATCAACATGTTGAGGCTTTCTTTTCTCATCAACCACTGGCGGCCCAGTTCTGGCTCTCCTGGGCTCTCCGTGCGGAGCTGGCGGCCATGCCGGGCGGGAGCGGCCGCGGCTGGAGCGGCCGCGGCGTGGGCACGGAGGAGGCGAAGGGCAACGGCTGCGCGTGTTGCACCTGCTGTGTGGAGGGCTTGGAGGACTTCGAGTCGGGCTATAGGGCTCCAGTCATACCTTCTTTCGAAGGTACTTATAGACCATCCAAACCTGCCCCAGTCCCCACCTTCTCACGAGGTATTTGGAGCCCGCAAATCTATGAGTCTGGAGAGGAAGTCTACTTTGCCACGGCCATCACCCTTTCATACCCCTTTTTGAGAGAAGAGGCAGAGGGTAGGCGAGTCTCAGATGATCCAGGTGGGATCCTCCACAGGAAGCTGAAAAACCTAGCGTGCTCGGGACCTGAAGTCCCAGCAGGTAGTTTGGGATGATCCAGCACCATCGGTCCGGGTCCGGGTTGCTTCCGAACACATTCGGGTCCGGGTTGCTACCTCACCGTGAACGGTGAGCTTGACTGTCATTCAAACTCCCTGTATGCAGTGGTCAGTGACAAAGGGAACTTGTCACTTGATGTCACTTGAGCGTTTCAACATGTTTCAACTGTTTGTTCTCTCCCCTTGCACCCTTTGCTGCAAAAACGCGCAGTCAAACGTGTTTTGCAACCAAAATGCACTGGAACTTAAACTCTACGACTCAACGTGCAAACGACTCTACGTGCATCTCAACATAGCTCAACCTGCCAACCATTTCAACACATCACGAACCACGCAACCAACTGGTTTGGAACAAACTGGACTCTTGATTAACAAAACCTTCCATACGAAATCAGGTGAAGAGGCTTTGCAATCCAAATGGGGTGTTTTATAGAAACATAATATGGTTCAAGAAAATAGTTCTGCATGCATCCCTCAAAACAAAGTTGCAATAGAATCCAGGAGAACTCTTGCCGCTTACCCATTTGGATGTTGTGGAACTCATGAATGCTTGGGAAAAAAGGCCCGACTTTGTTTGTACCATGATGATCTAAAGTGGTGGTGTTCCACCATAGTTTCGTTGGAAATTCACTATATATTGACTATTGGCAGTTGCGACGGTAATTAAGGGTGAACCAACGTGTTGTCACATTGAATTCAAACGAAAAACTGTAAAACAAATCGTTCGCACAAAAAGGACCTGTGGGGTCTTCACCCTTTTTCAAACAGCATTCAACATCAAAAACAATCAAAAAACACAAGAGACTTGCAAACGCGCCTGCGCAGGCTGTGCCGGTGGCAGCTGAGGCTGGCTTTGGGCTAAGAACTGCCTGTCCCAAATGAAGCCAACGGTAGGAAGCTAAAGTCCCACTCCATCTATGAAAGGTGCGCCTGAAAGAGCAACCCGGCGGCCTGATCGGCCCATCTCTGCCCCCCAAAGGGTATTGATATTTTTTCCGGTGATGTTTTCAGATTTTTTCCAGATTTTTTTTTCACGTCTCTTCCCTTACTGTTTTTGCTCTTGCTTCTGCTGGGGGTGCTTTACAAGCACTAGGAGCAGCAGAAAGGGCAGGGGACGAAGCACCAAAGCCAGCGTGACAGTGACAAAGGGAGGGAACAGAAATCCACTTACTAGGGACTTCTTTGCGGTTGTGTTTTTTCTTCACTGGTTTCGGGTTTCTTAGGGTTCGGTTTCTTGTCTTTAGGGTTTTTTCAGAGGTTCTTCCGGAAAAGGCATTCCACTTAACGAAGGAGAAGTAGGAGGAGAGAGGAACTATAATAGGGACTTTTCTGCGGTTGTTTTTGGGTTTCAGTGGTTTCGGGTTTCTTTGGGCTAAGCAAAGTAGAAATCCACCTTTGTGGCAGTGTCAACGCAAAGAAAATAGTAGTTGCGGTAACTGTGGTAAGACTCGTAGCGGGGTGGTCCGAGTGATAGAGGTATTGGAAATAGTAGGGGTGGTGGACGGTAGTGGCAACTAGTAAAAAAGAAACGGGGCGCGGCGCCTCCCCCGCAATGCAAACTTGAGAGAGGAGGGGGGTGAACGAAAGGTAGCAGGGAATCAGGCGTAATCCGGGAGGAGGTGAGAGGCCCCCCCACTTGTTTGAAGAGAAGTGAGTGAGCGTGATGAAAGAACAACTAATGCACAAACGCTTGACAAAACCTCCAGAAGCTGTAGCGGTCTAGCGGTTTCAATACAGGTTGACGTGCCTTCAAAAGGAGTCACATATTTCTCAAATGCAACTTCGGATTTACATAGTGACGTGCGGCGACCCTTTAAATTGCGTGGCCGCAGGCCATGCTTGCAAACAGGACGTGCTCAAAAACACTGGTATTTACGAGGTTTCGTTGCCGTCGATCCACAGCCGCGGCAAGGTCTAAGGCCACGCTTGAAGACAGGAGGAGCTGAAAACACTGGTATTTACGGTATTTTGTAGCCGTCGATCCAAAGGCGCACCACGGTTGAGCGCTGGAAAAGCGCAGAAAACCGTGTAAATACCGGCGTTTTCTGCCGGGAAGGTGCACAAAACCCTGTAAATACCATAGTTTTGTGCAATTTTGAAGCCTCCAAAAGCCTCAAAAACCCTTTCTGACAAAATCTTTCCTGGTTTTTGGTCTTTTTGTGGTCATTTTTCTAACCGAGGCGCATCAAAAACCATCGGTTTTTGCGGTGTTTTTTGCCGGACAGCCACAAAAAACGCTGTAAATTCCATGATTTTTGGTCACTGCTGAGGACTGGAAGAGCTGAAA